CACACACACACACACACGCACGTGCACGCACTCAGCCCCCACCACCTCCAATCAATTAGTCAATCAATTAGCCGGCCTCCACTCCACGCGCGGTCATCACGAGGCAGATTAGCTCAGTAATGATCAAATTAATTCTTAATCGCAGATAATGGACGCGGAATGAGTTTATTATTTTCAGGAAAAATGAGTTAGGCCTCTGTATTAGTTCCAAGGCTGCGTGCGTGTTACCGTCACCCCGGCCAATTTAGCATGCATAGGATAATAGAAAAAAGCAGTGGTGGCAGTTCGTGCTTGAGGTCATCCTCAGTTGACTGAGCCGTTTCCTGCTTTTACAGGTTGCATGAAGGATTATAGACACTGTGTCTGTACTTCAGACTGTGTTTATAAATGAGGCATAAGCCATAAAACACACTGCGAGGGAATTATATTGCAAAAATAGTTGATTTTTAAAATTATATTTTTCATAAATCTGAACACATTTAGAAAATATATGACATATGGCAACTTAGTGCTTTTTAAAATTCATAACGACGTTGTAATTTACTCAAAATGAGCGATATGCACTGCACAGGCCTATTTGTTTTAATAGGAAAATAAAAAGGAAATGCTGTACATTTCCGAGTTATAAAAACTCAAGTGCAACTGAATGTAGAGAGGAGCATCTTCGGCTCTCTCGCTCTCCTCATCCCATCTCAAAACCTTGACAGGAGTTTGAAATTTCCGGGCTTATGTTGGAGGCAGCGATTGGCCCAGGAGGAGCTTACCTACATGCAAATGAAGCAACGCAACCTTGCTGCCTCTGATCCAGAGCGTGAGGAGGAGGACCAGGAATACACTCATGTTCCCCGAGCTCTAGAAAAAACACCTTCAACTCCTTCAATGTTAAAACTCCACAATTAAGCAGGCGAGGGGGGAAAAAAGAAGAAGACAAAAGCCGCTTTCGCAATTTTTACGCACCAATCGTGTAGAAACCAATAACGGAATACAAAGGGAACAGACAGATTCAGTCAATACTTCAATACTGTTATGAAGCGAGAATGAGTAGCGCAGAAGACAGCGGGAGCAAGTGCTCGTCGGGCCCGATTTCCAGCTTTACCATCCAGTCTATTTTAGGCACGCCGTCCGATGCGCCGCGCTCCGGGACCAAAGAGCTCTCCAAGGGGCCGCCGCCGCCGCCGCCGCGGAGGCGCTCGCTCTCGGTGTCCTCCGAGGAGGAGTGCAGCGGCGGGGAGGACTCAGCAGACTGCTTCTGCTCCGACACGGGTCACAGCGAGCCATGCACCCAGCACCAAGCCCATAACTTCTCATGTTTAGGTGAGCAATATTTATTATTATTATTATTAGAAATATTATCATTATTGTTACTGTTATTACAGATTGACGTGGTACAAAAGGGGAATTAAATTAAAATGTTATTGCATGTATTTACACTTTTTTTAAAATATTTTTTCTCTCACTCTATACAATGGCATGAAAGTAGTCCTAATTAGTTCCTTTAAAAAAAGAGCAGGCCTCCTGTTTTATGCTTTTGTTTGCAGTTCAGCTCACATTTCATTAGCTTGTGTTTGTGACTGTAACACTCACATGCAGCTCATCCACATCCACTTGTTTGTTATGTGCAGACTATCATCGCAGCAGCAGCGGAAGAGGGGAAGGTCGAATAATTAGCCCTCTGTCTTTCCTCTCATTTCAAATTTAATTGAGCCTGCTAATTGATGAAACATGTTTCTAAAATGGCTGCACTACACGTCGTCAATTGGGCGTTAAATAGAGCGGGATTTAATTAATAGCTTACTGTACACCAAGCATACTCATGCTGAACTGTTTATTTAAAAAGTCACCGGCTTTCAGCAGTCGATTTAGGGTGTCAGAGTTCACACTCGACGAACTCTCAAACTGAGTATGTCGAAAAAATGTAAAATATATATTTTTTTATCAGTCGTTTTTAAAAAGTATGCTTAAAACATAGACGGGTTTGTCGGTTCTGATGCTCATCGCCTCCTCTCTCCCGCTCGCGTGCAGGTCCCGCTAAAGGACTCCTGTCTGGAAACGACGGGCTCGCGCGGCGGCCGCACCTGCCACAACCTCTGCTGCAGGATTATAAGGAGGAGCGCGAGAGACCGTGCCATCAAATGTCACCTAGTCTGTCGGAGGAGAGACAGACGGACGGTGCGGACAAGCAGGGCAACTCGGCCAAGAAGAAGACGCGCACGGTTTT